ATTGAAAATACAAGAGAGTGTGCATTTAACATTAAATAAATATCTCTTTTTGATTTCGAGAAAATTTCAGAAAATTCTGGCTCGCAATTTAAAATCTTATAAAAGGAGGAAAACCTCTCAATTCGGTGATTTTAGTTAGTTACTTAGTTTGTTGTTGTTTTAAGAGTTTGTTTAGAAACTACTCTTGTTGATTGTAGCGAATTCGCGGATTAGCTTTCTTCAGCTGTTTTGAATTCAGTTCTATTGAACGTTTGAGTAGTTAAAAGATAACTACTGTAAGATATTGTAATACTGCACGATAATTTGAGGAAATTTAAGCATATTTGTTGTGATAATAATAAATTTTTGTTCATTTTTCATCGGACTTGTGCATTTATTTCGTAACGAACCCGTACGCACGCAACAATATTTTAGGTATTAAGCGGATCGTATAATGTAACATAGATTTGGATTATAATACAAGGCGCACAATATGTAATATTTTATAGATTAAACGGAAGATAAAATAAGATCAATTTTAAGTACCTTGTGTCACAGTCGATCGAAAATTAACGTGGGAAAAGTACTTTGAATTAATTTCTACTAAATGTGAAAAAATTATTAATAGTCTTCACCAAAATGCCAAAAATACTCTTAGAGTGAGGTAGGAAGTCAGGAAACAAATGAGTAATTTATGGTGCCCTGCATTTCGTACGGTTTTCGTGCATCAAGGCATATTCTTGGAAAGAAGATTAATAATGGAAATTTGAGAAAGACTCATAGGAAAATTCTCCTTCATGTTATTAGTTGTTATAGAACACTAAGTTATGAGGCTACTTTTGTTTTTGTAGGAATTAAGACTATTGAATTCGAATTTTAGATGTAGGAATAATATTTTCGAGGCACTGGTAACTGATACTTTGGAAGATTGCATAAATGGAAAGGCACCCTTCCCTAATATTCCTCATACAGCTACTTTAGAGCCCATAAATTTCTGCGATTATGAAGGGACTGCTGAAAAATGCTTTCATATGGTTTGCTCTATAGATGGCAGTAAAATGAACAAAACGCTTGGACTAGCATTTATTCTTTTTGAAGATCGATATAAGGTTTGCTAATTTAAGTACCGTATTCGAAATGAGTGTACAGTTTTTCAAGAACTTACCTGTATTTATCTTGTCGTCATATGGATCAACGTAAATGGGACTGCATCTTCAAGGTACCTCACATGTTCTGATTCTCTTTCTTTCTTTCTTCTCTCCCCCTTTTGGAGTGTTACTAGCAGCGACAAAGTAGAAATCGAAATTCTCTGTAGAGTTCTGCGTTGCTCTGTAGAGTTCCTCACTCTTATTGTACTAAAGTAAATGTCGAGAAACCTAGTGAACTGTTAAGCGACTTATCGCTTAGTTCAAATAACAGAAATCGTAAACTCAAGAAGGGTTAACTACCCTTTATTTCACTCAAAATAAGGTGAACAGTCGGCTCCTTTATTCGGGCTTAAAAATAAGATATAGAACTAACTATATTTGACTAAGAAATTTAGCCGAAGCTAACACAAATCTAACTTAGTTGGCCCTTAATTTTAAACTAGCCGGCGAATATCAAAAAGGCACGTAGTATACGGCCGAGCGTAACAGCTTAGAGAGGCACAGCTCGAAGGCAAACACGCGCTACTCAGGATTCATAGCTCTCTCTCACGAAGTAAGTTGAACCTTCCTTAAAAACTACTTCTTACTCATTTGCATTCAACGCGATTCTAAAAACTCATTCTTGTAGAGGGTTGCAAGTTGAAACGAGGAAAGATAGGAAAGCACAAATAAATTAAAATAACTTTTACAAAGTGAAAGTAGTAAGTAGTATTCAAGTGCGTAATTTATCCATTAAACCATACTGTATTTATGAATGTTACACAAGTATTGCGTTTCATGCGGCGTTCGGTATTACTCGCAGCGATGCGGAAATATCTGCCAGAGATACGGAAACTACTTCATGTATTAAGAAAGACAGACTTTTACCTCTAACAACAACTACACACACACACACATACATAGAGAGATCCAGAGATACATGTAAGATAAATTTTAACTAATTCGATTTTTTTAAAGTTTTAATAGTCCTTAAAATATTTTTATTGTGACTATTTTCCTCTTTTATCCTAAAGGTAGTAGCTGTTTGTAATAAATCCGTCTGAAGTGGATTATTCCAGAATTACAGCATCATTTTTAAGGCAGCAAGGGGAGCACTTTTTACGTAACTGTAAAAATAAAAGTGGAGTCATTTATCTAATATTATTCAAACAGAAACTACGTGCATCCTATTGAAAAATAAAGCACAGCCTGAAATCAGTAACACAGCCTTATCAGTAACAACAGCCTAGATCAGTAACAACAGCCTAGATCAGTAACACTGCGTTTGCCCAGTTAAGATGTAGTCTGTTAATTCTCTTTTGTCTATCCCCAAATATAATGCCGTAACATTGCAAAATATATTCTTGAAATTATTAAACGGGGGGGGGCGTTTTACTTATGCATGTTTACTAATTATTACCAAATTAGTTTATCGCAATTTAATTAATAATTAATATTTATTAATTAATATTTTATTTAATTAAACAAATTAATTATTATTAAAATATTTAAATTATTAAAGATTAAAGTAATTAAATAATTAAAATTAAGTAATATGTAAAGAGATAAATTAAAATTTAATAAGATATTCGTAAGGCAATTTTATTGCAAAAAATAAAATTTTCGAGATCAAATTTCTATTGAAATTATTGTTCTGTGACATAAAACAAGTGCCGGAGACTTCTTATTTAGGGCTTTGGTGAGTTCTGTCTAGAATTTATCCCAAAGACTAAGAAGTACCTTACCGGGCTCCGATGAGCTCCGGTGCAATTTAAGCTCTGGTAATGCTATTACAAAAATAAAGAACTGTATCAACCGGCCATGATTTCAACCTCATTGAAAGATTTCTCAATCTTTATCCCCTTGGCAGCCATCATCATCTTTTACGTCTTATCCTAAATTTTCATAACACATACACATACACACATATAGGGTATATGGCTTCCACTGAAGAATGAAATTCCCGTTTGCTGGCAAACAGTTGTTAGCAAAGCACTTTCTACTAAAACTGATCATCTTCAGAGATGAAGTCTGGCAGCATATCGCCGCAACCAACAACATCTGCTTCAGAACAGTCGATGGAAGGCTTCGACACAACTCCGACTTCGCTGCCAGTGATTAACATTTTTTCATAAACATTAAAGAAGCGTTCGGTCAAGAGCACTTTGCTACAATGAACTCCAAATATAACAATATATTGAACAACAACTGCATTTTTGAATGGCGTAGAGAAAAAAGTTTATGGTGGGGGTATACAAAATGAATGTGATTGTCTCAGTGTCTTTCGTGCCTGTGTGAAATAATACCTCAAAGTACGTACTTTTAAAAATGCTTGTTTCGTTCGTAAGATAGATGTTCAACATTCTAGTGCAACTAGTTCTTTTATTTATGCTACTTATACTTTAAGATATTGCGCGCATTGAAATATTTTAGCTACTTTAATTAGTTTTTTGCGAAATGAAACAAAAACTTTTATGCGTTGTATATTAAATCTTGCAATTAAAACCTTTTCTACAGAATTCATAATTTTATTAGATAAACGTATTTAAAATCTAAAGTAAGTATTTTTCAGAAATCGACTGCTCATAAAGACAGATTGATAAAAATAGTTCTTGAATGTTATTAAGAAAAACGCGGTTTTTGTTTGTAGTTTTTCTCCCACCAGTTCTAGCTGTTTGCGAAATTTAATTCCAAGACCTCAGTAAGTTTACTATTTTAGTTCAAAAGATTGAGATTCACCAGGAACAGGTATTATACAAACCTTAAGACAAATATCACACAAACTTCAAGAGGTGGTTAACATTCTAGAACTCGGAACAGGACATGCAATCAAGATCTCGAAATCTTTTATGTGGTCTATTTCATTCAGTTTCTTTCTAAACTCAGTAAAAAGTCAAACGGCTTACCCCCCCCCCCCAAAATGAGTACATTCTTACGATATTGAATACAGTAATGAACATAAGTAATACGCCGAAATATTCACGAATATTTGACTTAAGGTTAGATTAATCGATCAAGGCAAAGCAACTCGAGGGAATGGATGTCTTCGTGGAGGACTTTCTAAGAGAAACTTTCTCGTACTTCCGTTACGCATGGGGAAAATCACGAAAACTTCCATGCAGCCAGCCCATCCCATGGTATTTGAATCCAAATCGATAAACCTCAGTGTTCAACGACTTTGCCGCTCTGGCGGTGAGCCATACCTAGCTTGAGAAGGATGTTTACGAAGAGAACTGTCTATGGGAAACTAACTCGAATGTAGTGAAAAACAAGAAAATACTTCCGCAAAACCCGCTCACTCCGTTGCCGAAAAACTAATAGTTATCAGTCATCAACGAGCTTATCAAATCGACCGCTGCTTCGGGGCGGTCAAGCTTCGCAAGCTTTGTCAAATTAATGAACGTGATTCACAAATCAATTATAAATACTCTTATCACAACAAAACGCTTTGTTAAAAGCATGACTAAGAGTCCGAATAATGGCACAGAACTCTTAACTTAAATAACCTACTGATTTTACTGATGATGATCGTTATTCGGAAAAAAAAAAAAAAAAAAAAAAAAACTTTGAACTAGTTCTCAAAATTTTCCACTTCTTTCGCGAAAACGCCTGTCAAAATACCATAAACCAAAGTAGACGAGAAACGACAAAATTTGACCTGTGTGGAATTCGCATAATTCACTTTCAAGTTTAAATCATCCACTATGACAAGATTCGCCTGACTGTTACCTGTGAATGCGTCGGAGAACATTTTTCTACTCGCTACGGCAGACGGAGAGTTTCAACTCCGGGGAGCCATACTCTTGCATCGTGAGTGTCACCTGTGAAACGCGTCGACCAATCAGAAGCAGCATCCCTCCATGCTCCTTCCCCACTAGACACATCAGGTGGTTGCTCTTCACGGGCCGTTGAATGAGTTGACCGCTTCCGTCGCTGCTACCCAAAAAAGTTTTGACATCAAACCGAAATCGTTTGCTGCTTGTTTCATTACGGTTTCCTCTCCAGCTGCTTAGCGTTTGTTATTGGCCCTTCGCAAAGGAGTGTGTGGTCACTTCAATGATCGCTTTCAGTTCTCTTCAGGTAGATTAACATTTGCTCGCGACGTCATTTCGACGTACGAAGTTGTGACGCTATACACAGAGTGTTTGTTATTCGTGCGTATGATATGTGGGAATTTTTTCATGACGTGTTTCTGAGGTGTGTCATCAATTGATGTTTATTCTAGCTGCACACTTCCATAGAATCAAGTCTGTATTTGAAGCTGCGTCTGGTTAAGAGTTCGTCTGCAAAAAAAGGTCTGAGATAACTAGTGCAATCTTTTTAATTTCACAAAAGAAACAAGCAAGGTGTTTCAAAAAGATGTAAAAACCATTCATTCGGTTTTCTGTTTCTGTCAAATACTTCTGATATTTTGCTGTAAATTACGCCATTGGATATTCTAGTCTTTTTGTTTATCCCAGCATTATGCCGTTATTTAGCGCCAAGAAAAAGAAAGAAGATTTCAGGAATAATCACACGAATGGCACGAATTCCTGTACTGCTCCGAGTTCTCCTGGAACTCCAGTACGTTCGAACACACCCAACAATCTTCATCAGAACGGACAAGTCAGTCCGGTCAATGCGGAGCAAGTACGAGAACTTCCCGTGCATAAACCGAAATTAGTTTTCCATTGCCAACAAGCACAGGGGAGCCCCACAGGAATTATATCCGGTTTCACGAATATCAAAGAATTGTACCAAAAGATATCCGAGTGCTACGACTTTCCTGTCTCAGATGTAAGTTACTCTCATACATTTATAAATTACTTATAAAAGAAAAAGCTTATCTGATCTTAATTCAGCAGTTAAATATATATGGTGTTTATAGTTCATAAAATAATTACGAACACAATTTTATATAGATTTCAGATATGTGTGCGTATATATATCTAACAGTAAATAATATTAACAACAGTAGCATAATTAAAAAATAATAATCCAAAAATTAAAATTTAAAAAAAATTCTGTTCAGTTCCATAAAGCAATGCGAATGGCGTTAAATAATTCAAATAAATAAAGTAACAAGGAAATAAAAATAAGTTGCAATTCAAATCAAAACTGCGTTAATTTGTGTCGACTTTTCTTAACTTAAGCTATGCTACGCAAATATTCACATATAAATTAATAAAAGTGCATAAATTCAGTTACGCACTATGCACTTTCGTTAATTTGTATGTGAACAGTCATTCTAAAGTAAGAGCTTGGCACCCTGCTAAGATATGTACTATATATCATATTAACAATTTGACATTTTTGTTGTTGTTGTTAAGAATTTAGTGTATATATTTTAGTTTCTCCTTATGTGTTGGATTGTTGTTTTTACTTTGTAACAACGTCACTGTGCAGTAACTTTATTAAAGTGAGGTGGTAAAAATTTAGGATTGTCGCAAAGGTTTTATTTTTGCACCGTTTTCAGTATGAAATAATACTTTATAATTTCTCACTTTGTCTTACCGATAGTTTAAAAGTACCCCCTCCCATTTAATTTTGACGTTTATACTGTGCATAATTTTTCTCATCTCTAATCTGCATAGATTCCATATTGGCTATTTTACTAAAAGGACAGCAAAAGTTCCCCCTCCCGTAAGTTAGTTGCTTAAATAGTAGTTGAGTTTATTAGAGAGCTCTTGTTCTTGTTGCATATCATACATATTAACCAGATTTGTATTTCGCTAAGCTTGCTACATAGTTATCGCATATAATTACATAAGATTCCCAAATAACCTACCTCTACAGACCAGATTTTACACTGGACAAACTAATAGCTTGTTAATATGAAAAGGTTATAAATTATCGTTTATAAGTTGCATAAATTACATTATAAAATTACCATGTATGTCTTATATAATTATTTATTGAAATTTTTTTTTTATTTAGTTAAAAAAGGGAACTCAAAATAACTTTAAAAAGAAAATAATAATAAATAAAATAGCTAACGGGTAGCAGCATCCACTATAGGATATTCCTCTCTTTGACCGCCCAACCAGCGGCCGAGCGGTAAAGTCGCTGAACACTGGTAGTTCGGTCCGAGGTTCGAATCCCGCGAACGGGCTGGCTGCATGGGTGTTTTCGTGGTTTTCCCCCTGTGTAACGTGTATACGAGCCAGTTTCTCTTAGAAAGTCCTCCACAAAGGCCCCCTTAGGCAGATAGCCCTAGTGTGCTTTGCCATAATTAAATACGCCACACCACACCACCTCTCTTTGACCATATAAACACTCTACTAGATCCTACTAATAAACCCAGCGACTTCTCGCACAGGCGTGAAATAATACCAGCACAGAAGGAGAGGGGAAATAACCCTTTTTATTATTCTCAACTACTTATTTTATTGTGTCACAACTGTTAAGTTCCACCGCAAGTTGTCGGTGTTACTATTACTTTACAGTAACACCGACAACTTGCGGTGGAACTTAACAATTGTGACACAATAAATTCATGCCTAAAAGAGTAGTGCTGGACTAACACTTTAAGTTACAGCTAACTAGATTAACTCGACAACCTACCCGGCGTAATAATTATTCATATGGCGAAAAGGCGTATCAATAACTCCGCGTAACAGTAAGGTCAGAAACATAACGTGCGCTGGCTAGTGAAAACACGCTCTGAATTAAACTTCAAGATTCACCCGTTTAAATACTCACTTCACTTAACTTTAAATTTATACCCTGATGAGGAAATGCGAGGGGAAGTTGAGGAGTTCAGGAAAGATAACAAAAATTTGAATAATTGGTTAATTGAACTAAGGGAAACCCTACACCACGAGGAGCTACTATCATTCAGCATGTTCAAGAAGAAGTGCAGGCTTCGGATTCAGTGGGCGATTCTGCACTTTCTCCCAATTTCGCACCTAATCTTCGTCATGATTAAACACTTTTGTTCCATAAAAGTGCTAGCATAAGCGTAATTCGGCTAGCAGATTGTTGGAAAAAAATGTTGAGGGAAAAAAAAAAAAAAAAAAAAAAAAAAAAAAAAAAAAAAAAAAAAAGCCTTTCGTGAAAACAAAATGGGGTCTAATAAAACAAAACTAGCAGGTTGCTATTGCCGAGTTGGTCGCCAGATTTTCGCCAAAAAATCGCCAAGTTACCATAATCCAAAGATAACGTATATCCATATCGGAGGCTGCCACCTTGGCCAGACAGTCGGTCCTCTCGTTTCCAGTATGCCCCACATAAGCTTTGATCCAGTGCAGTTTTACATCTAAATACCCATTCAAAGTTTGTGAACAGTTTTTGATTTTCAAGATGATGGAATTGGCATTCTCTGGGCGGGAGAGAGTGAAGCAGTGACAAACAATCTGTATAAATATTAATTGCATTTTGAAAGGTAACGCATCTGTTAATCCAAATTAAGGCTTGATATAGAGCCTCGCATTCTGCCTGAAAGACAGAATTATGGTTATTTAATCTAAATTACATATAGTCGATTTCGACACTAAAATAATGTACAACAAATGCTGCTCCAACCCTCCCCTCAATCCCAGACCCGTCTGTATATATATCATATGCACTAGAATCAACAATCTCTTTGTCATAAGAAAAGCCAATTCTTTTAGATGGGTGCAAAAGTTGAATATTATAACGCTCAAACACATACTTTGTGACAATATAATTATTATATATTTTAAAATCAGTTCGGTTGGTACGTAATAAGAATTTGTCCATAAAGAATTCGTAGAGAATTGAAAGGGGCGGCCATCCGGCCAAGACAAGCACAGCCTCAGTGGGGACTGTCCTAAAGCATCTTGTGACCGCTATCTTTAGCGGTCACAAGCTTCTTTAGGACCTTCGCTTACCATCAACCAAGAGGTTGATGGTAAGCGACCCCTCTTCTCTTACCATCAACCAAGAGGTTGATGGTAAGAGAAGAGGGGTGGAAGATCCTCGGACTGCACCCTGGATGTTCTCCTTGGGAATTGTATCCGAAACAGAAGTTTGGTAGTTAGCAAGGCCTGGGAAAACCTAATATGCTTACGTGGATGCATAGGTGCTAGTATTGCTTCAACCCTGTAGATTGAATTGGATCCTTAACCCACACATGGAGGTTAACTTCTTAAGTCTCATTTTGATTTTCACAAGCCCCCGGTGGATAGAATTCAAGGATTATGTATCAGTATTGCATTACAGCTAGCTTCTTGAGCGGACATCTCGAATCTACAGTCTTTAAGTGCCTGCATGACACTCTGCAATCACAAGCGACACTACGCAATCATAAGCCTGCATTTCATTTTTGGGAATAGAAGCTAAACCCAGAGGCATGGCAGTTAACATCTGCCAACCATCACAGCATTCGAAGTGGCGCCTTGTAGGATGAAGTTAATGTCTGCTGTTGCTAATTCTGGCAATAAAGAAAATGTAATATTCGGAATCCTCAGACCTACTGTTGCGTTTATTGACTACATTCAAATTATCTAGCCTTCTGAAAGTCGCCAGCATTAGATGGCGTAGATTTTGAATAAAACTTTAATAAAACAGAGTTTAACAATTGAATAAAACAGAATTTTATTCATAATCTACTCAAATCTAAAGTTGCTTTTTTGCCTAACCTAAAATTCTAGGTTAACTTATTTCTCTTGCAATTAAACCAATCTCTATTCTTCGGCAGAGAACAAGTCTGAAATAAAAGCTTGCTTGCGTCGTTGTTGACGGAACTGTTCTTTTGTCTTCAAAGTTACCTCTTTAATATTGCCATATTTAGCCTTACACCAATTTATGTAGTTCCTCCTTACTTAATTACCAACTAATTGCCAAAGGATTATTGTTTAGCAGAGCCGTGCTTAAGTATTTTTCCCCGAGGCAAAGTGGTAAATGAACGGCCTTATAAACACTGAAAATAATTGTATCTGTATGCTTTCATATTCAACAAAGGTAGTTACACTAAATCAAACGGAATTTCTTATAATATTTTAATCATAAATTTATATAGTCAGAAAACAGTATATGTAATAATTATGCATGTAATACTTTATTATTTTAAAATGAAAACGTCAAAAAGCATTTTTTTAATTAATTTATTTGATAAAATAGTGATATTTAAAAGCTTCTGTTCATGTGAGAAGATTTTGTTTTTAAAACTGCATAAAGTGTTTTTTTTTTTATAGTTTAAGATTTCTGAAACTTCTTTCACCCTAATAGTAACTGACAGCAATACTTCTTTCACCCTAATAGTAACTGACAGCCTAGTAACTGACAGCCTAGTAACTGACAGCATTAAAAGTATTCCTAACGCTAATTTCCGAATTCAAATATGATTTAACTAAAACACAAACCCCTGAACTATATTTAGAAGATCTAATTTTGCTTTAGTGACTAGAATTATGCTGTTGCTTTTTAAAATACTTAAATTTAATGACATTAATTTTTCACCCCCTAGAAACTGCAAATCGAAAGCTATAACGTTTAAATTTTGATATCCGCATTTTAGTTGTAAAATTAAAATATCTCTCCCTTCTTTCATTTCTACTGTGAAAAATATTTCTCTGAAATAATTAACATCTGCCAACAGTAGATAGAAGAAACAGATATAGTAGAAAGAGATATCTGTTTGTTTAATTGGCAAAGCATACAAGGGCTATCTGTCTAAGGAGCGAGATGTCTTCGGGGAGGACTTTCTAATGGAAACCGGTCCATATTTAGGTTACACATGGGGGAAAAATGAAAATATCTATGCAGCCAACCTATTCACGAAGATCCGATATTGCTTTAATCAATCTGTGTGGTTTCTGTATCTTTATAAAATT